TTGCATGTTTCCATGTGACCAGATGTGGGGAGAGACTTGGGGTCGGCGACCATGGTGCGAAGCCGGGAGAGCGAGGAAGCGTGAAGATGTACAAGCCGTTGGTGACAGTCATAGAAGCTGGTGGCGGCAGAGAGGTGTGCGCAGGGTTCCTTGGTATCAAAAATGTAAAGACCAGTACTATTTTCGTTAGCGATCCCGATGATTTCCTTGCTATTCGGTTTGGAGATGGTAAAGCCGTCTTCCGTCCCAGTTGTTGTAAATCCCTTTTTAGCGATGCATGACCAAGACATCAGGTTGGTATTGCCTAGTTCGGGGATCAAGAATACGTTCTCCAGAGTGATCAGGCCATGTGATCCGTTGATGGTGACGTTGCCAATTCCGGTTATCTGGAGTTTGCGACCTCCTCCAACAGTAACTGTTCCAGTGTGGGGAGTGGGGTCGGTAACCAGCGTTCCGGTCATGTGGTTGGTTGCACCAGGGTCGAAGATCCATGCCTTGTTGTCGGTGGTGGAAGGTCCTGCAATGAAGCCAAAGTAGTCTTCCATGGTAATATCCGAGGTGTCATCTGAGAAGTTGGTGAGGTCGAAATCAACCGGCATTGTGAATACATCGATTTCTTCGAGTGCGGGAAGGCCAGAAAGATCGGGGATCCAAGAGAGGTCGAGTTTTGTGTGAAATGCAGTACCAGATGCGACGTTGAGGTTGCCAGATGCAGCGGACTTCTCCTTGTCTCTGAAAGCTTTGAGTTTCCGGCAATTTTTGTGCGTGTGGCCTTTTGCATATTCTCCATTCTTAGTGCACCAGGTGCATGTGACGTCCCGATTTCCTGTTTCGTTGTTGCGTGGCCTCCTGACTCTGTTGTTGTTTCCGTGTCCTGGGTTTCCTCGCCTGATTGTGTAGGCTTCTCCAGCCGCCTGTCCATCGTTGTTGCGCCGTGAGTCCAGATCCAACAGCTTTTCGTAGACGTCATCGAAGGTGACGTTGGGCTTGGTTTGCAGGTTGTCAACGACTGATTCGAGGGATTCATGCCGGAGTGAGAGGAGTAGGAAGGATGCCTTCGCTTCTGAGACAGATGCGAGTTGGTGAAGGTGGTAACCGAGTGGGTCCTTGGTCTTGTCCGTAGAGTTACTAGTCCTAGTGAGGAGAGATGACCAAAGAGTATTGAACTGGGTTAGATGTTCCTTGATACCCTTGTCGGGTGTGTACTGTAGTGTGACGACATTTGCGAGGAGCGAGTGGAGGGAGGCGACGGTTTTCCGATCGAATCTGTCCTCAAGTTGAGTCCAGAGGTGATGAGCAGTGTCGGCCGGTGTTAGCGTGAGAATAACTTCAAATTCGATGTTAGATTGGAGGAATACGACCGCAGGGTTATCCTTTTTGTCCCAATCGCTGATTTCTTCGGCATTGTCGGAGGTTTCTTCTTCGTCTTCTTCAGCCTCAGCTGTGCTTCCTGATGCTTGTGGTGCCGTGGTAGGTACAGTAGTGGTGGTGGTTGTCAACACGGGACGCTTGCTCGAACCATTGACCAAGTTCCACAGATCGTGAACTTTCAGCATGCGGGTAGCAAGGTCCCTCCATACAGTGTAATGGCCTTGACCATCCAGCTTGCATGGGAGTGCGGGAATTTTGATGCTCCTCTCAGACATGATTGAAAGTGAAACGAGAAAGTGTACTTTGTGGTAAAAATGGTGAAGAGTGTATAAGCGTGAGTGATCTCCGGGCTCATAACCTAGAGAAAGTATGTAGGAGAAGTAAAGTAATTGATCGTGTTATTGTTCTAGCTAAGGGGGAATGCCCCGTATTTATACTAATGAAAGGTAGTACAAAAGAAATACAATGAGTCATTGACGTGTGAGTAATAGAATGACTAATAGGAAAGTGAGTCATACGCCGATTACAAATACTATAATGAAATGATGAGAATCTTCCAGAACTATGAAACGTGCCGAGCGTCCTATTTCAAGAGCTCTGCCTAGTATGACTAACTAGTTGAACCCTATGACGAGGCGTAGAACAAAGTAATATTCGTGGAGTAAATACAAGAAGTTCCGTGAAGAGAAAAGGAAAGGAAGGAAAACATGAGAATGCACGAGACAACACCCCTTTATATATCCAGCCTCTAGTCCATTGATGACTCATACTTCGCATAACGGAAACCAAAAGAACATAACAGAAACCCCATTACAAATCCTAATTCAACTGTACAATACCTTCCCCTCACGATTCAATCGATCATTCCAACAAACAGATTATGTTGCCGTTACACCAGGCTATGAATGTGTAGGCTGTGGAGGTGAGAGTTATACCTGAGAAAGTAGTGAAACCTTGCAAATTTGTATGTATTTCAGGTGCAAACTTGCTTTCGGTCAGGACGCAATGCATCCATACAGGTAAAACAATCGCTTCACGACGCTTGTTCTAGGAGCCAAAAGCAAGTCAACCGTACGTCCCCTATATATCAAAGGAGAAGTGGGTGAAGGGGACTGTATGGCATTTAGAACTGCATACTATAGGGGTCTCCGTGTTTTTGGGGATGGGGAGGGCTAACCTTAACCCTAAGTTCACACCATCAGAAATGTGTATAATCTGTCAAATTTGATATCATTCGCCACTGACCAAGGAATCCAAACTAGGTTACGGCATATATCGTATTTCAGATTACCCGAATAACCAAAGCATGATTGGTCATCTCAGAGATTGGTTAACCATGGTAGGTGGAAACGACAGGAAGCATGGAGAGCCCAGATTAGTGGGATTAGGGCACCGTTGACATCTAATTATATATGACTCCATTGTTTTTTACTGATCTGGATTTGTTGTCAGAGAGGTGGTGGTGCAAGCCCAGGCTATGAATGTGTAGGCTGTGGAGGTGAGAGTTATACCTGAGAAAGTAGTGAAACCTTGCAAATTTGTATGTATTGCAGGTGCAAACTTGCTTTCGGTCAGGACGCAATGCATCCATACAGGTAAAACAATCGCTTCACGACGCTTGTTCTAGGAGGCAAAAGCAAGTCAACCGTACGTCCCCTATATATCAAAGAAGAAGTTGGTGAAGGGGACTGTACAGCACGTAGAACTGCATACTATAGGGGTCTCCGTGTTTTTGGGGATGGGGGGCTAACCTTAACCCTAAGTTCACCCCATCAGAAATGAGTATAATGAAGCCGCCAGGATAATAACAGGCCTACCCAGTTGGACAAAAACCGAAAACTACTAAAAGAGGCAGCACTTCCCCCACTCGAACACATCCTCAACCACAAATCACGGAAATACGGGACGCGTATCCTCTGACACCCTGCTGACCACCCACTCAACGAAGAACTCATACAGCTCCTCCCCGCCAGAACAAAGCAGACCAAAGGCACAGGCCTAAATCGGATTGCATCCCTCATGTTACCCTTCCAAGAAACATGCAACCGCAGAGAACGATGGATACAGAATGACCTCCTTACCAAATGCATGCTGGAAGAATGGAACTCCATCTCATTCACCAACTATCATGAACCAGGAAGCCTAAAAATCCACCCCAAATGAGCAAAACTCACTCTATCCAAACCAAGACTCATACACCGCATACGATGTCAAGTCACCAGAATAGATGCACACGCAACATCCACGGAACCTGAACCCTGCCAATGCGGCTCGGAATAATCCTCCAAGGACACCATGATCGACTGCCCTCGATGGAAACAACTACGAAAGCCACTCATGGACAAGATCCCAGGACCGCCCACCTGAGAAAACTGGTTATTCACCAACCTCAATGTAGACCTGGTTCAACAATTTGCATCAAAAACCAACCTACTCGACTGGTACGAAATAGACCAAAAAGACCTGGAGGAATGATGGCGCCCAGATTTCTTTTCTTTTCTTTCTGTACTTCTCTTCACGATTCTTCATGATTTTTTTTCCTTTTCCTTTTGTTTTGGTTGTTGTCTTTTGTCGTTATTTTTTGTACAGGTGGAGGAATTGGCGTGCGATAAGTCCTGTACTTCAAAACAATATAAACTTATTTATTTATTTGTACCTTATACTACAAGATAACCTTGTTCTACTTCCTTTTACAGGGTTCACCTTGGTTCCTGATCAGGTTGAACCACCTTATAGTCTATGTTCTGAATACCTACATACCACGTCATCCCTTCGGTTGTATTCCTTGGCATCATAGTCCATCACCTATAGTCCCCGTGATATGGGAGTGGAAAAGAATCAAATTACGGTGGTGGAGGTTGGAGTTGCAAAAGCTGGGGCACACACCCCTCAAATACTTACTTGGCCGCCAAGTTGCCCCTTTCTTAAAATTTGACCACTGGCAGGCCCTCGCAGACTGGTCAAGAATAAAATTTCCTAAAAGAGGGTTCTTCACACATACCGTGAATACCCCGTACATACATGTATCCCTTGGTGATTTCATCTGGCGTGGCGGTATTGCATGCATGGGAGCTGCTGCACAACAACATGGATGGTATTGGGTGTCGCTGCATGCATTCAGCCTTATGAAATTTAACGCAAAGTAGGTAACGTGATGTGCGGTTCTGGGATCGTCTGCACACTCTCGATCGCTTCACTTGGGCGAATGCATGTACGAAACCCTAACCCATATGCATCGCAGACTCCATCCAGCCGTTGATAATGCATATAATTGCTCACATCTCATTTCCATACCTACAAATTTATGGGGACTTTTGTTTTGGTGACGCTCTGCGGGAATTAATCACTTAGTCGACTCGCTCAGTACATCTGCGTCTGCATCTGCATCTATAAAACGACCAATCCTGATCCACCACGACAGCGCACGTTATACAGCCCTGCGCACGCGCACGACATTCAAACCCCCGCCTAGTCCCCCCCCCTACCTCTCGCTGCTCTCCTTTCCCCATCCAGATCCTCCTCCTCCTCCTTCTCCACCGCGACCTAGTACGACCTCAAGCACAACCAAAAGCCCCCCCCCCCCCTCGGCCCCCAAAACCACACCAAAGACTCAAGCCCTAACCCACACCATGCCACCCCGCACCCACCCCCACCTCGCCACCCTCCCCCCCGAGCTCCTCCTCCTAATTGCATCCCATCTCCGCTCCCGCTCACTCTGCAACCTCGCCGCGACGAGCCACACCCTCCACGCGTGCCTCTCACGCACCCTCACTGCGCACCTCGCCCTCATAGCCCCAAGCCTGATCCGCTGCCGCATGGGTTGCTCGCTATGGTACTGCTCCCCACATTGCTACTGCACGCTGGACTACGAGCGCATGCTGGCGCTGCTCAACTCTGCGGCGGCGCACGGCTGCACGGGCCTTGTCAGGCGCCTGGTCGAGTTCCATGCCCTCCCCGTGAATGGCGCGGGCCGCCAGGGCCCACCGCCCCTGGTGTGCGCTGTGCGGAGGGGCCAGGTGCAAACTGTTAGGTGGCTGCTGGGGGCGGGGGTGAGGGTGCCACCAAGGGTGTGGGCGGAGGTGTGGGTGGAGGATGGGTGCCAGGGCCGCGGCGGGTGGGCGGCGGAGATGGAGGCGCTGTTGGAGGAGGACCGGGAGCGGGAGCGGGGCGGTGGAGGTGGGGGGGGAAACCTGCGCGGGCGTATTGATGGGCTGAAATAATCCCGATCCTACGTACATATGTGTGTTATAGAATGGCCGGCTCTGTGGTTTTGGGCTTGGAGATGTGGTTGGGACTATAATTATAGGGTTAAATGTTCACGGTACTTTACTTTTGCAGCTGTGCGATCGACACCCACACTACCCTGCTCCATTGAGGAGAGAGTCTACTATATTTAGTCCCGCCCGAACGGTTTTAACAAAGACTTGTTCGTAGTCTTTAATATACATGGAGCTGAGGATATCGAGTGATACATCATGACTCACTCGGTTCACCTGTTGGCAACAGTTTTTTTTTTTTTTCGTTTAATTCTCAATTGCACACGATTGGTGGACGTCGAGCCGCCCACAATATCTGAAACCTCCAAGACCACTTATTCTTTGAATGTCGACAAATCGGCGCTCACGTGATGGCGAGCTGAAGCTGATATCTGTATGAGATCTACTGTTTGATAACCAAGAGTGTAAGATCAGTGCGCAACAGCCCCGATTGAACTAGACATGAATCTTAGCCATCGAAAGATCTCACGACAGCTTAAGCATGGGCCTTAAGGCTAACCTGGGCAAATGCGAACATTTCTAAATTGACAATACTCGAACATGTCCTAATAGAAAGCAAGGCTCACTTATCGGTGTGTCAAGTGACTAACAGTAGATGCCTGGATGGTTTTCGAGTATAGCTTCCTTGCTTATTGGTGGATATAAGAATAGAATCTGTATATTTTAGGATAAAGAGGCCGTGATAGAGCTGTGGGTGTGTGGGCGACCGTTTTTCCAAGTGGCTTCCCAACCCTGACCCTGACCCTGAATCAGTAGTTCCTACCATAACTGCAACTGTACGTCCACAGTATATACATATGCACGATTTATCCCTTCGTCTGTCAATTGCTGACCACCTATAACAGAGGGTGGAAGTTTGTATCGGAGATCTGATAAGAAAGATAACGAGATCTGTTCGCAAAAACCACTATCTAACTTTTGATTTTTCTTGGGCGTCAGAATTTTGGTGGCAGGCGGAAGGATAACCCTTCCTTCCAAGTATGCCACCAAATGAGACAGCAGAGGCATAGAGAAAACGGGAAATGAGACTTGGTAGCCCTTCCTACACGATGTGGCTGTACAACAAAGTTTGCAAAACATGTACATAGGACAATATAAAGAAGACACATGCAGTGCATTCCGATGACTACCCCACATCACATCCCACGCCGCTCCACCCCTCACCACCGGCTGCGGTGGAAGACCTGACCGTTCCCCCAATCGAGAATATCTGGCCCTCAAACTACGGTCTACACGGATCTGCCACGTTATTCGCACAGCTCTGCCTCGGCCCATAAGTACAGCAACGCCCATTCGGTGCTACACATCGCTTCCCATTAGCGCCCTCCTACAAAACTCGATCAAGGAGACAACTTACCGCACTCATATATCCATCCCCTGTAGTCAACACTAGGGTCACTACCCCCCTTAGTGACATACTCGCATCCCCAGCAGTACTGGCTCGGGTGGTTGCCGAGAAGGCACTCGCAGCCGTTTAGGTTGCATTGCCGCTTCTCGAGGTTGCCCCTGAGTGGGGCGGGGTAGCGACGGCAAGCCGCGTGAGCATGCAGAGGAAGGCAATGGGGAGGAGGTTTAGGAAGTGCATTGTGGATCTTGATGTGTATGTGTGTATTGTATGTCGCTGATTTTGAGATGGGAGCTCTCCTGAAGGTAACGGTTGGAGGGAGCGGTGGGCGGACATTAAAGGTTTTGATATCCTTTGGGAGGCGTCGCGGAGGAGGAGGCTATGGTTGGCTCCCTTTCACATCTCTTAGCAAAGGGCGTATGGTGCTCCGCTTGATGTGATTTTTCTACACCTTTTTGATCGCCTATCGTTTTTGCACATTTATTCGCAAATGCACCCACACCTCGTATTGCACGTCAACCACTTACAAGAGCAATAGCAGGCTGTCAAGTCGGTGAAAGAACAAAGCATGTGTTTCCAGAGCTAGAGGATGACTGTCACTCGCGTGGCGGGTGGCAGGTGGTGTAGTGACCATCAGTGATGAGGGAATCTGTGGCGCAGCTTCTGACATTCGTCTAGATGAAACCGGCAACGCAAAGGGAGAGGTGAGTACTTCTAGAGCAGAAAGACGAGCAAAAATCAAGTGAGCTGTGAAGCAGTCATGTACTACGCACTCCACGATGCTCAATCATTCTACAGAGCTAGGCCCAAGGCTAGCGTCAGCGATATATCGATCGCACTACATAGTGCGCACTCAACCACTATCAATCTTCGATCACTTTTCAACCATAGCCAGAAAAAATAACAAAGGCCCGTTTGGTAGAACAGTAGATATAGTAACGATGAAGACTCCCATCAGATATATTTCCAATTTAAGGTCTAGCTGAAAAGTTATTGACCATGTAAAATGTATACTGTATTTCTTGTATGTACAGTACGATGCCAGTCGTGAGCGTCAGGCGCGGCGTCGCAACGCCGCGCGCGCCGCCAGATTTCCACAACCTTTTCACGGCGGGTTGGTACACAAGATATTAAATGTCAAATCATTGTTATTTATCTACTATTTAACAACTATACAAAAATTCAGCTCTCCAAAGGATCAATTGTGGTTGCTGTGCTGGTACCCGTGATGGTTCGGGGGGCGTGGCGACGCCGCGCCTGACGCTCACGACTGGCATCGTACTGTAAAATGCGCCAAGCCTTCGCCGAGTGGAAGAGGCTTGGTGCCACCTCCGGGAAGCATCAATCCGGGTGGAGTAACATGATTAATTTTCTAGATAAAAACGCCGCCTTTCGGGTGGTGTAAATGAGGTGAGGTGTCTCGAGATGTTGTCCCGAGACACGACAAGACTCGGCGAGGCCGGTCGTATTCGTGGTGGAGGAATGTCTCGAGATAGGCAACAAGGCTCAGTTGCCTTTTATTGGGATAGCGAAGACTACCGGGCTTCCGGCCTGGTACATGACTTACAACACGTTCACGATTGCCAGCGCCCTCGGTTATGATAGCCCTGACCCCAGCCTCCACACCCCACCCCGCCTGCCCTTCCCTCCTTCTTAACCAAGCCTCCCCCCTCCCGTCGTAGAACATACAGCTTAGAGAAGACCCACGACTCTCCTCCACAGCACCGCTATCCACTAGCTCTACCCCCACCGAACAGAATGAATCCACAACTAAGTAGCCCCCGAAAAGCGGCAGTGATGAATCATGAAATATCACTCGGCCACACGCGGGGAAGGCTGTTGCGTTTTTAGCCTCTACACTACACCGTGCCATCCGGGAATGGCTAATACAGGTGCCATCACTACCTAGAATTACAATCCGTCAATGCTCTTAGACGGTTGTACCGTTCAGAAATATGCCACTCAGGCGCTTCTAGATCTTTTTATAGCTGGTACGAAGACATGCCAGCCACGACACATTTTCCCACATCCCTACCTAGACATATGCCAACAAAGTTACTTGGGAATATCTTCAGAGCAAGCATCAAATGTGGAGAGATCTGTTAGTAAGGTTGTACGCAAAAGCGAGCGGGAAAAGCTCGTCGGGGGTGGTCCTGGAATATCCTGGGTGCCGAAGTAAGGCCATCGGGGAGAATGAATAAGGACATATTTGGGGCTATATTGATAGAAATCATGTGTATTGTACAGTATGTCTTAGACCCATAAGACATTTGGAGAATCTCTCTCATGTATCAGCGTCTTGAATTGGCTGTAAAAAGCGTCCGGGTAATCAATTATCTGGTTTTAATTAATAGTCCCCAGAATATGTATTTAGAGATGCTATAAAATTCGCAAGTTAATGTTAATGACTTCCTGAACAGGATACGCTAATGAGAGAGATTCTCCAAATATCTTCCGCGTCCATGGCATAGTGGTGATCGATAGTCTAATATGACCGTTAGATTGCCTGGGCTCAATTCGAAAACAGTCACCGCGTATGGAGTTTTGCTGGCGGGTGAGTTCTGGCTAGGAACGAGAGTCTAGACACACTGTTACCTATATACCGAAATCCATGGCCTTCTCAGATATCATCATGTGCCTGAAGGATGAGTGATCGGCTTTATTGCCATTGGAATTGCAATTTGTGGGCAAAATCCTGGTGCTACTCCATGAATATTGCTGACAGGTCAAATCTAGCTAAAAATTTAGATTCTATGATTTACCTTCATAGAATCTTTACTACTTTGTTATACTGCAATATTGATATTAAACGATTTTTTCCCCCGCTGAAATTGCGTTACATTACTGGTTTCATAAAATCTTTAATGTTGATGGCGACGAAAATCTGCCCAGAAGTCTGAGACCTACACCTTTATCACATCTATACACAATACACTATCTAATTCACCTCTGTTGTGTTGCTGCTCCGCGTGTAAATTTATTGAAAGTCAATGATATGATGTTGCCACAACCACCCTAACCCTTTTTGGCACACCAACCACACTAGGAA